ATAATTCAAATATCATTTTCTAGACAGAGGCTTCATAGCTTGGGCCAGCAGTCTCTTCTCTACATTGGCTCCTTTTCTTTCCTTGCTCATTTCACAGAGGCCACAAGAGACAGGCCATTCCAGCTGCACGTCTTGCAGTCTCCATCTGTCACAGAAGAAGCTGCAGAAGTGAGAGGTGTTAGAATGTACTTCTCCACCCAGAAACACAGGTTTTGATTCCACAGCTTTGATTGGTCAAGGAACTCCCCAACTCCTGTTATCTCAACAAGCTCCTTCTTTGGGAGAAACCCTAGAGGCAACCCAGTGTGTGCCTGTGGGTGTGTGTGTATGTATGTTAGAACTTTCGAGAACAAATATGACACCCAGATTACAGGATTAAATTTTCTTGATTTCTTTTTAAACGTTAGACCAAGTAACAGGAAAGTCTTCTTTTTATACTGTTTGCTCATTTTTCTTTTAGCAGCCGATCCACACATGAGGATAATCAATCTCTTAAAATAGTTTTTATTTCAAAATTGGGCAAAAATTGTGTGATTCTATCATGGACATAGGAATCAAGGATTTCTTCCTGTCTTGGAAGAATATTCCAGAGACCCACAACTTTCAGAATTTGTACAAGTTAAAACTAAGGCAGACTTAGTGCAAAGGTGATGGACACACCCCAAAACCAGGGCTCTTAGTACCCATTTACTGTATTAAAAACATTTTTGCTTCTTTTTTGCCTCAAGCAGTTCTTCACAATGGCTTGGAGATCAGTGCACTTTAATAATTTAATAATCCTAATTCTCTCAGTGGATCTGGATCTATGTCAATCAAAACAAACTGAAGGAAAGGTATTGGGGCAATCTGTTTATTTTAGGGATATTTTATTACAGCTATATGTGTATATATATATCACTTACAATATAGGATAAACTCTACCCACACTTGTTGAATCTTCTCTCTATGAAAAAGCCTTTACCTCACAGTTAGGTGACTGTAGCTGTATTTCAGGGAGACCAGCAAGAAAAAAATCTGATCTTTGAGTAATTAATAGGCTTTTTTCTTTGATGACTGTTCTGAATTTTGTAACTTATCATGTAATTATCTTGAGTTGACTTCTGAGGCTCTGAGAACTAATTCGTGATCTGCTTTTTATATATAGCATAGAACTTCCTGCTTATACTGTCCTACCAATAATTTCACTTCAGCTTTATTTTATTGTTTGATTCTGAGTTTTCCTTTGCCTTACTGCTTTATCTAATTTTGTCGTATATTATCGCATGTATTGTTGTCAGCCACCACACATCTTTTTTATAAGGGAAATTTTAAACAAACAAATATCATGAAATGAATTGTGCCACAATCACTGGTGTTCTCTTCTTTAAGGTGACTTATTTTTTCTAGAGCTCTCTTCAATAGGGCTATGCTGATTTTCTCCAAATAAGATGTGGGAGCCCCTTAAAACTGGGTAGGAGAGGCCATTGGTTTTATTCTGCCAGCCCTGGTGGTGCCATGATTAAGTGCTTGGCTGTGAACCATAAAGGTTGGTGGTTAGAACCCACCAGCTTCTCTTTGGAAGAAAAGACCTGGCAATCTGCTGCTGTAAAGATTGCAGCCTAGGAAATGCTACAGGGCAGTTCTACCTTGTACTACAGAGTCGCTGTGAATCAGAATCAACTCGGTGGCACACAACAACACTCTGCCCCATGGCCTAATTTTTATTTTATCTTACGAAAGATAAATGGAACCTTTTGCAGGATGGCCTCTTCCCTCCAACATGGAAACTGAACACTTTGGGGGCAGGTATTGTGCTAAAGTGATACAATTTCTCCAGCCAGTAAAGCCCCCCTTTCCCCCTGCATGCCCTCAGCACCCCAGGCTGCACTCAGTAGTATTTAACAATACCTGGTCTGCACCATAAAGCCCTCAGACAGCCCGTGCTCCTAGGACACCGTGAACTGTACAGCACTCTGCTTTATCTCAGGGCAGCTGACAGGTCTGTATGGAAACGGTTGCCGAGAGAGTTTGCTGGGAAGAAAAAACCACACAGAGCCTCTTCCCAAGGAGCAGTCAGGGACCAGTCATTCATTTTTGTAACATGCCTATTTATGAGGCAGGGTGAGTCTTCTCCTCCCAGTGTTTCATAGATGAAAGGGTGGGGCAGGTCCATGCAGGCAGGGCAGGGGCTGTGGGAGAGGGAGTAAGGGCACCAGGAAAGAAAATCTAAGACCCCTGAGGTTCTTGCCACACTCGGCCTCCATCCTGACATCTCCCGCTCAGTCTGCAGCCTGAGCAAATGCAGGCTTAGTCTTTTGCAAGAGTGTTTGACTTTTCAGGGGTTGGTCTCCATACATGGCCAGACACATGTCCTTCCACCGCCTGGGCTTTCTGTCCCGCTGTCAGGAGCTGCCAAGGAGTTTAAATTCCAGGCCTCCAGGAAAAGGTTTCAAAGGCTTTCTGCTCCAGCTCACCTCATCCAGGAATGCTCTGACCACCCATCCTTGGGATTACCTCCCCGGGCAAACCAGGGCTGTTTGTATGGCCCAGCACCCTCTCTCAGACCTCATTCTCATATATGCTTAGTGTGCACGTGAGATGAAAATAAGAACAGAAAGTTGGCTCTGACACGCATCTTCTGCCACACAGCTGCGTACAATGGATACGGCTTTGCTTTTATCATTTTGCAGCCTGAATTGCTTTCCCTGAAAAGCCGCATGGCCACACATATGGCTTAGAAACTGCTATTTAATGTCGCCGATAACAAATCTCCTACGCCATTCTCTGTTATTTGTAGAAGAACTAACATCCACAGTGTAACAGTGGACAAACAAAATGAGTAAAGTTGAGAAAAAAGATAGCAAGTTATTATTAAACTACAGTAATTGGTTAAGAAAACCAAAATGGAAGCTTTTGCATGATGGCCTCTTCTCTTCAACATAGAGATTGAACACTTTTTGGGCAGGTATTGCACTAAAGTGATACTATTTCATAAACGCCAGGATGAGTTTATTTTTTCATGAGCTTAGAGAGGTGTCTCTTCAGAAATCTAAACAACTGTTTGTGAAATCAACTCCTATTTATCTAGAAAGCGAAAGCTAGAAAATTAGAACATAAAATTCTGTGCAAGTGCAATACAATAATTTATGTTTAAAGTAATAATAGTTAATGTCTACTGAGCACTCAATATTCACCAGGCACTGTGCAGAATGCCTGACATGTATTACTTCATTTCATACTCATCAAATTTTATGAGGAAGCGCTCCTCATTTTATAGATGGGAAAACTGAGTTTGAGAAAGGTTAAGTAACTTTCCCAAGGTCACACAGCCTAGGTTTGAATCTGGGTCTTTTCTGGCCCGATGAAGATCACTCTCAGGTTCTGTAAGATTCTGCCATTTCTTATGAATTATCAAGTGAAAATTAACTTGTGTTGTGCAGTGCCATATTTGAATATCAAGCCTGTTCTATGGTTTTCTAGGCCAATGTAAGTTTTGTAGAACAAAATACCTGACTGAATGAAGCAGTAGGACACCTAGTTTCCAGTCGTGACTCTACTTCCCAAACAGGATGGTAATTCCTGTCATGTCTCTCTCACAGGGCTATTGTGAGAATCAGACAAAATCATGAATGTGGAAAGCCTTTGGAAAACAAAGCTTTCTAAGGAGGAATGATGTTACTGCTATTAAAATGTTAGCATGTATATACTACGTATGACAATTCTCTCGACCAGAATAATTGATAAATCAACACACCTGCTTCCCTAACCAATCTGCACACCAGTAACTGGTGCACCTTACCTTTTCACCTCATTGTCCCGCGGGTTGCAGAACCGCAAGCCTGTTAGAGTTCCGGCATTAAAACCTTCTGCTCTTCCAACTTATTTCTGGGCGATCACTACTTGCTTGGCTCTGCAGTCCACGTTTATGTTACCAGTTTTCCTTGAACAGGCACAGAAAACTTGTAATGTGCCACAAAACGGTAAGATGCAGACACGTAAGAATTACATCGAGGTTCTCCACCAAACGAGCTGATTCACGCTCCTTTCCCTCAGGATTTCCATGTCGCCAGAAACCCGGCAGCATAAACTAGCAGGTAGCGGGACCCGCGATTAACAGACCCCTCAGTGTCCCACCTGATCTGCGAGCAGTTTCCAGCTCTGAACTGTGTTGTGCACGGCATGGAAACAGCCTTAAAGCAGCTCAGTGCAAGAGGATTTAAAACCCAAGAAAAGATCCAACGAGAGATTTTCCCGAAGTCAAGTTATGAAGCAACTAGCAGCAGAGTTTATCAACAAACGAAAGGAGCAGAGGACTTTCATCCAAGGCATTTTAATGAAGACAGACTACACTCTAATAGTGCTATTTCAGGTTGAAAAGGCAGTTTGGGAGACTCGCTGTAGCTTGTCAACTCCGCTTTTCTCCCTTATTCTACTAAGAGAAAAAACGGAAAAAACAAACAAAAACGTGGCATAGCGGAAAAGCACAGGGTAGCCCTCGAGGGGGGAAAGGCAAACATTGGCTGACCCTGGCCATTAGAAATCAACTGACAACAGGAAGGAAGCTCATTAACCCCTCGTGTCCCCCTCCCCTTTCCCCGGGTGAGAACTGACTCCTCCTTCTCCTCCTGGTCGTGCGACCCTGGTGCAAGATGCAAACCGCCGCCCGCTTTCCCAGCGGACGAAGAGGCGGGAGGGGAGGGCGCAGCCCTGAGCCAAGTCAAGCAAGTCTGTCAATCTGCCGGGAACATCCCGAGCGAGGTGACCTGGACCTCGGGGCCCTCCGCGCCGGCCCAGCACCGCAGGCACCCCGTTACCTGCCCCACCTGAGGAGTTCGCACCCAGCACCCCAACTCCTAGAGAGATTCCCCCGAGCCCCACAACGTCCACAGCCCCGGCGACCCGCGCAGGTGGCGCAAACGCCCCTGCCCGCGGGCGCCTCCTGCCGGAGCGGGAAGGCGGCGCGGAGAGCCGGGCGCAGGGCGGCGAGAGCTCAGAGCGCGGAGCTGCAGCTAGCGTCCCCGATGGTGCCGCCGCCTCCTCCGAGCCGGAGAGGAGCGGCCCGGGCGCAGCTGGGCAGGAGCCTTGGGCCGCTGCTGCTGCTCCTGGCGCTGGGACACACGTGGAGCTACCGAGAGGAGCCCCAGGACGGCGACAGGTAGGCGCTTCCAGCCCGGGCTTCTGAGCCCGCGCCGCGCGCTCCCTGGGCCCGCGTTGGTGCGCGCCCAGCTCAGGGTGCGGGCAGCCCCGCTTCCACCCAGCCCCGCGCTTCCCGGGCAAGAACGGGGTCTGCTTCTGTCCTGGCCAGCACTGCACTCTGCTCCCGGGTGACAGCCTCTGCGCCCCCAATCTGGGCGGCCCCAGTTGCGGGCCGTGGCGCGGAGAGACCGCCACCCGCCTTCCTGCGGTCCTCCGGGCACCGCCAGCTGGCACAACACTCGAGCCTCGTTCATGCAGCTCCTCCTTTCTCCGGAGTTGGGTTCGCTCTGTCTGTGACCCTCTCCTGACCGACCCCTGCCCCCAGTCGCCCCAGCGGACGCGCCCTCGGGTCCGCCGCGCCTGCAACTCCCGCCTCCGAGGGCTCCCAACGCGCAGGCCGCCCTCAGCTCGCCGGCTTAGAATAAACCAAGTGTTATCTCCAACTTTTTCGTAGAGAAATTTGCTCCGAAAACAAAATAGCGACAACCAAGTACCCGTGTCTGAAGCCTTCGGGCGAGCTCACCACGTGTTTCAGGTAAGACTTGGGGCCCGGCTGAGCCCGCCTGGCGCACCCTGGCTGGGTAGGAGGCGGCGCAGGGAAGGTGGGTTTTGAGAAGCGCTTGGGGACCAGGGGCCGCGTTTGTGGTAGGAGACGCAGAGCAAGTACTCCTCGGTGCGAACCTTTGTGTGCCGTTTCTGGGTCAGAGGAGCGAACGACGGGTACCTGAGTCAGCGCCTAGAGAGTGTGTGTCCTGAAATCCTGAGAATGTTTTCCGCTCCCTGGGATACTTGGCGGTGGAGGTCGGCTGGGAGGAGAGGAAGGGAAAGGAGGAGGTTGAAAGTTTATGAAGAAAAGTGGATTAGATTGTGGGTGTAAAACAGCGGGACATAGCGAAGATGAATGGCTGCTTTCCGATTTGCGTTTTGTTTTGAAAATACAAAGTCAACAACAAGGAAATACTTGGCACTTGGCTGTCTTTTGACCTTCTCCTGCTGGGACGGAGTGTATCACTGTCACGGCCTCAGTGGGCTGACGGGTGGGGGAGGAATGTGGGTAGCTGATGTGGTTGTGTTGAGGGAAAACAAAAACGTCAAGGTTGTTGAGGCACTAGGAGAAGAGGAACAGTCTTTCTGAAAATGTGGTCCATGAATCACCTACACCATAGTCACCTGGGTTTGTTAGAAACAAGACTGGGTAAGGTTGGGGCATCTGTGGTTTAAGACTGCTCCCCCGGTGGTGCATAAAGAGAATCAGTGTTCTGGACTTGCAGCCTTTTGGAGGTGAGAGTCGATTTGGTTTTGTTTTTTAACCATTGAATTATTGGCTTCTGTTCCAGTGCTTTCACTGGATACAAGAGACACGTGTCTATAAATATTTATCAGTAGTCTACCATTTAAAAGGAACTGTGCAAGGTAGTGGGATCACACGCACATACAAACTCTGTGTCTGTCTCGAGAATCTTACAATCTGTTTGGAGTCCAGGGTAAATATTGGATAGTACAAGCTAACACAGTAGCCTGCATAAGTGTACTTGAAAAGAAAGTTAAGCTTCACTATTCACAGTATTGTGGCAGATGAATCAATCACAGTGCTTTCAGTTGCGAGTAACTTTATTTCATATACCCAAAGGTTCAGATATAAGTGATTCCAGGGCGGGTTAGTTTAGTGGTACAATGGCACCATCAGTTACATTGAGTAGCCATGCTTTTGTGTCTGTTGTTGGCAATGGGAATGGAATGATAGTGATGACTTAGGTGAATCAACAATCATTCCTTGGACTCGGGAAGGGCTGCTCTCTCTGGGCACACCGGGAGTGAAATTTGAACATAATATGTGAGAGTTAGTAGAGGAGCCTGGGTGGCATAAGCAGTTTGTGATGGCTGCTAACCGAAAGATTGATAGTTCTAACCCATCCAGTGGTACTGTGGAAGAAAGGCATGGCGATCTACTTGGGTAAAGATTATAGCCAAGGAAACCCTATGGAGCAGTTCTATCTGCGTAACACATGGGATTGCCGTGAGTTAGGGGCTGACTCAACGGCAGCCAACAGCAACAACAGTAGAGGAGAAGGGAGTATGCTCAACTGGCAGGTAAAGTCTTTAAGAGGTTAACTGGGTAAACAGGATCACTCAGCTGGTAAAGTGACAAGGATTGCTTGCCTGATTTCAGCCATATGTTCCATCCACTTGACCACAGTATTTCTTAAGATGCATTGTTTTCCAATCACTGCAGTATAAATCCTCTGATTTAACATGGAAGGTGTCCCTGATATGGTTTGCTCATTTGTTCAGTCCCTGAAGGTTGGACTTGACATAAATCAGTGACAGTTGCAAAATGCATGTCAGGTTTTCAGACACCGTTGCTGCCTGGTTATTGTTTAAGCTGATTTCATTTGTTATGCTAAGTTACTGTTATCTTTTCCATATTGTTTAAAGCAATGTGTTGTTTCTTTTACACTAAGAGTCTCAATGAGAGACAATAGCAGTGTCTTAATATGTGTTTTCTACATGTTAACCAATTACACAGAGAAACCACCTGTCGTAGCTAGCAAAAAGGATCGTTTATATTAAGGGAAGGAGCAAAGAACTTTGATTTTGGGAGTGGGAAAGGATGTTTTCAACTTGAGGAAGTGCTAATGGTCCTTGTGAATATTAAATTTTTGTGGTTTTGTTTTTAGATTTCAGTTACTTTATGGAAGAGTTCTAAGTGTACTCTGTTGGTCTTATACTATTTCCTTACTTTACTAATTTCCTGAAGACATTGTCAGTCCTCAGTTGCTGCCCCCATGTTGCTTTTGAACCCTAAGACTGGAGAAATCATGTGTGTCTCTTGGTTTGTGAACTTGCTGATGACCTTGACCCTGACCCTTGCTACTCAAAGTGTGGTCTAGAGACCAGCATCCCAGGCATCACTGGGAGCTTGTTAGACTCTCAAGCCCCTTCCCCGACCTTCTGAATCAGAATCTGCCTTTTAACAAGATGTGCAATAAAGCTTGAGAAGCTGCTGTAGATACCAGTGTCCTGAATCCTGTGACATGGTGCATACCAATTTGGACAGATCCTCAGAGGAGCGTGGAGGCCTCTACAGATGAGCGAATAGTTCGTTCTTCTACCACATCAACCTGAAACGAGACAAAAAACTAGGCTTCCAGGAAACTGGACTCTCCAATCCTAGGGTCACCCTTAATTGAGCTGTAAATAAAGTATGCTGTGCTACTGCAGGAGGGATGTATATGACTAGTCCACGCTTTATCAGATGTCTTTGTGGAAACAGTTTTAAGCACAAGTAAAAGAACTCTGGAAGCCATTTCTGAACTCGTTGAAAAGGGGTTTTATAATTTATAGTAAAAATCATTGACAATGGGCAATGGGCTTAATACTAAGATGAGTCTGGTAAATGTGAGTAATAAATCTGGTATGTCATTAGAGCCAAAAGTATGTGGACACCTAAGAGATTTGGGAAAGAAAAGATGGACTTGGACTATTCTTTGTCCTGGACCTCCCCGACCACCACTGTTTTGCACTTCTATTTTACTTGGTTTCGCCTACGCAGCACCTTTCTGCTTATAGCCTTTTGTATTATATACTAAATAATAAGGACAAGTTGAGGGCTTACTCTGTATTCAGCACTGTTCTATGTACTTTATAAATGTTATTTCTAATCCTCCAAGCCAGTATTTTTGGAGGATATTATCTCAGTTTTACAGAGAAGGGAACTGAAACTCAGAGGAATTAAGTAACTTGCCCAAGGTGGCAAAGCTAATAAGTCAAGCTAATGAGCCAACATTCAAACCCAGGTTTCTCTGACTTCAAAGCCTGGGCCCTTTCATCATCCCAGAGGTGTCTACAGATGGAGCTGGATTTTCCAGATCCTGGCATCTAAGTAAGGAAGAAGACTATAAATTCAGATGGCTATAAATTCAAAAGACACGGTTTCATAGAAAACACCAACTCCCCCACCACCACAGTGGTCTTCCTGGATTAGCATTGCCAGTGAGGTCTCTTTTATTAGACAGTTGACTGTGTTTTACATTATATACAAAATCTTTCACACGTGTTCATCTGAACCACAGGGGATACGTCTTAGCTAACTCTCTACCCCAAAGTGCATTATGCTGAGTAAACCAGTTGCTGTCAAGTCGATTCTGACTCATAGTGACTCTATAGGACAGAGTAGAACTGCCCCATAAGGTTTCCAAGGAGTGGCTGGTAGATTCGAACTGCCGACCTTTTGTTTTGCAGCCAAGCTCTTAACCACTGTGCCACCAGGGCTCCATTGTGCTGAGTACCCAAAGCTTAGTAAACACTTGTTAAATGAATGCCAGCAACAGCTTACAGAGCTTAAAGAATACATGTTTGCTTAGCTTTATAATCTGACATAGGGCGTAGTTCTGTTACCAGTAGTTAGGATATCAGAGTTGATTTATCTGGATTCTGAGTCTATTACGACCAAACCAAGCATATAAAGTTATGGCATAACCCTATTATCCTTCTTGTGGCTTTTAAAGTTTTTCCCACAAGTTGATTTTTCTTCCTTTCTGAAACGGTGTGGTTTGAACGAAAGGTCTGTGTTTGCAACTCAAAGAATGTAATCTATGTCACTGAATTGTACAGGTAGAAATTGTTGAGTTGGCATATGTTTTGTTGTGTATATTTTCATCACAATGAAAAGGTTTGTGTTACCTTTCCTTTATTGGGTTTTATATCAACAAAATGGCATGTTAAAGGCTTTTTATTAAGTAAGGATCAAGGAATATGCTTGTTGTATATAAGAAGCATCAGTAAAATTCAATTTTTATTGGGTTAGGCCATCTCCAGTAAACATCCTAAATAATTTCTTTGATCCATTAATCAATTACAGATTGATTGAATGTCTATCGTGAGCTTAATAGTTCTAGAAAATGTTTGAGTATAAAAGATTCAGGTATAGCCTTTGGTCTCAGATAACTTGCAGACTTGATTTTAGATCAAGGCTTTTGATAATGTAAACAGTACACAATTATATAAGATTGAGTTCAAAGTCATGTAGTCATGCTAGACTATCTATAATGGGTAAGAGATTAGAAGCATCTAGAAATGGCTTCATGGGAGAGAGAAGACTCAACCTTGTTCTTCAAGGCGGTTCTTTAACTTAGGATGTGTTAGACAGGTGTTTTTCTAAACTGCATTTGCTATGATTTTCAGCTTTGTGGTTCCTAAACCTCCAAAAAAAGACTGAGTGGTATTGCCACCCGACCTGCCCCTCCACCACGGCCTTATTCCTGTGTGTCCAGTCAGTGGTGTCTTACTAGGCAGTACCCTTGCTTATGGTGGCCCCTGTTCCTGTGGGAAATGGTGACAAATGCAAAACCTGCCACGTTTCTTTGAGATAATGCAGCTGTGTTGCCAAATCCTGTGAGAATGTGGACATTTAATATGATATTTCTGTAAATGTGTTTACTTGAAATTTGGAGAGCAAGAAAGTCACTCAATTAGAGCAGTACCACCAAATTGAAAATACCCACCTCTAGCTAAGGGTACATTTGGAGAAGGACT